CAATACAACACCGGGTGGTTACACACCTGCTGAACTTCATCCAGGTCAATACAACACCGGGTGGTTACACACCCGCTGAACTTCATCCAGGTCAATACAACACCGGGTGGTTACACACCTGCTGAACTTCATCCAGGTCAATACAACACCGGGTGGTTACACACCTGCTGAACTTCATCCAGGTCAATACAACACCGGGTGGTTACACACCTGCTGAACTTCATCCAGGTCAATACAACACCGGGTGGTTACACACCTGCTGAACTTCATCCAGGTCAATACAACACCGGGTGGTTACACACCTGCTGAACTTCATCCATGTCAATACAACACCGGGTGGTTACACACCTGCTGAACTTCATCCAGGTCAATACAACACCGGGTGGTTACACACCTGCTGAACTTCATCCAGGTCAATACAACACCGGGTGGTTACACACCTGCTGAACTTCATCCATGTCAATACAACACCGGGTGGTTACACACCTGCTGAACTTCATCCATGTCAATACAACACCGGGTGGTTACACACCTGCTGAACTTCATCCAGGTCAATACAACACCGGGTGGTTACACACCTGCTGAACTTCATCCATGTCAATACAACACCGGGTGGTTACACACGTGCTGAACCGGGTATTTCAACGCCAAAGTAACACCTGGTGGTTTACAGAAAGAAAGAAGAAGAAACTTAGTTTATTGCCGTGTCACATATTTTCCAGATATACAAATACATTTCGTCGAACAGTTGAAGGAAATATCCGTCCTTTCAGGCCTACTAGACACGATTATACATTAAAATGGCGTTAAAATATATAAAGTGTAAAACTCATAAAATACTTTGGCAATATTACCAAGGTTATTATGCATAAAATACAAAACAACTGTGCAGAACAATTGCACCTTGTGGATGGGTAAAGCGCTTAATAGATATTATTATTGCAATTACCGTGATTGAGTGACATTACGAACGATGTTTAAGACGACGTTCATACATATTGTACACCCCTGCGGTTCAAGCGTTACAGTTGATATTATCTTGCACTATAGCAATGAAGAGGTCTGAGGGAGATAATGGTGACAGTGGATTATTATAGAGCTTCTCAATCATATCAGCACGGATATCTGTATAGAGGTTACATTTCATCCTCGATCTCGCCAAGATCACAACATTTACAAATTCGTTCCTGGAGAGGGATAGGGGGACGACTGAATCTTCCTAGTTCGATTTCAAAAAGTGAGAGTACCGCACCTCAGTTTTGCTAATATACTACGACGACGTCGGTTAGATATCGAGCTTAGGTAAGCTTCGGCGTTTAGACTCGACTTGAACAATCTGTATGTACGTAATTTATTTCCATTATTTAAACCTCGGTCGTTCCTTAACTGATTGGACCATACACAAGTCGGACTGCCTGAGTCGAACGTATGTATGGTCCACGAGATAACACCCGGTGCTCACTGGTCAGTGACGGAGTCTCCGCTAATGCAATACATCCAGTGATTCTCGTGGATACAGTTCATGTGTTGTGTACAGTACCACTGTGCACGGTACATACGAGTACATCCGCACCCTTGTACCCGCCCTATAATGTTGAAACCAGACTGGGAGACAACAATGGCATATAACTGAACATTCCCCGCAGTCAAACCTCACTGTAGATATTTCTGCTATGTCACGGTGGTCAGCAATCTCAGGTTACCGGTTTGACAGGTATGTGCCGACTATCCCCGGTAGGTTACACTGGACGCAGATAGATCTATCAATCGATCGATTGATTGCTTAGTAAATAAATACTTACACATTATTCGCATTAAGTGAAAACTTGAATCGAGGTGAGGACAAATAGGGATTACCGTCGCGTTCAAGATGACTTTCCTCTTAGATAGGACGTGTCAGTTGGCCATCTTCCAGCAACGACGGTGTCGAACCTTGTCTGGTTGACGGGTGAGCCTATTTGCATAAGAAATATTATACTATATATCCGACGTTGAGTGTGAATACTGTAATTATAAACTATGTAATATTATGTAAGAGAAATAACTGAAAGTGAAAGTATTTATTTATTTATTTATTTATTTATTTATTTATTTATTTATTTATTTATTTTATTTATTTATTTATTTATTTATTTATTTATTTATTTATTCTTATTTATTTATTTAACGATGTACATCATTATGTTTGATATATCGCCCTTGTTTTATTGCAGTTGGTGGTGGGGTTAGTGGTTAAAGTGTTCGCTCGTCACGCCGAAGACCCTGGTTCGATCCCCGGATTGGTACAATGTGTGCAGCCCGTTTCCGGTGCCCCCCTCACCAGATCTCGGTGTGCTACTTGTCACACATGCACATGCGTGTGGCTGCTTGCACGAGTCCATGGTAACGCTGGTATTATTGGGGTAACTCACTGAACTGCCTTTCCATAATTTAACACGGCGAGCGTCAAGCGGGTAAAGACGTACCGTCTTGACCGTGTTTTGTCACTGATGCTACTGATCGTCGAACCGACAGCCATTCGCTCTCAGGACAGACGCTCTAGCCACAAGCACAATGGGGGCCTCCTCAAAGACACCTATATTTTGTTCAGTTCTGGGCGGTGGGGTAGCCCAGTGGTTAAAGCGTTTCCTCGTCACTCCGAAGAGCCGGGTTCGATTCCCCATATGGGTACAATGTGTGAAGCCCATTTCTGGTGTTCCCGCCGTCGTATTGCTGGAATATTGCTAAAAGCGGCGTAAAACCGTACTCACTCACTCTTCAGTTTTGACTACTACTACTACAACTACTACGACTACTACTGCTGCTGCTGCTGCTACTACTGCTGCTGCTGCTGCTGCTACTACTACTGCTGCTGCTGCTACTGCTGCTACTGCTACTGCTACTACGATCGCAACGACGACGACGGCTACGACTACTGCTACTTTGTTCTGCTGCTGCTGCTACTACGAACATTTGTAACGCTCCAAATCCGCACCCAAAGCCTTCTCATGACGCAACCTTACCCAGGCCAACGGATCAGGCTGCACAAGATTTTCAATCATTGGAGTATAATCTTCCTGTCGGGTACCCATTGAACGAAGTCACCTGCCTAAGCAGACACTACATATGCTCAGACCCGCGAAGATCTGGGTTAAAATTGATCTTCAGTAACCCATGCCTGTCGCAAGAGGCAACTAACGGCATCGGGTGGTCAGGCTCGCGTACTTGGTTGACACACGCCATCGCATCCCAATCGCGTAGATCGATGCTCATGCTGTTGATCACTGGATTGTCTGTTCCAGACTGGATTTTTTACAGATCGACGCCATATAGCTGGAATGTTGCTGAGTGCGGCGTAAAACTCAACTCACTCACTCTCGTGTGCTCAGTGCTGGGCAGGAGGCAAGAAGGAACCCGCAGGGGTAAAGCTGCCGAACAACCATCCATCAGTCTGATCTGCGCGCTGTCCATTAAAAACCCACAACATCGTGGCACAGGGCACCGTTTAGCTCGTACACGGTCCTCAGAGCACAAACTGTTTACGATATTGTCAGATTCTACATTTAGAGTATATATCCCCTAGACACGTATATATATATCCCTGATAATCTGATAGCCTGTCACTGTACGATACATCACGATTTGATGGCTGTCATTTTCGTGGCATGCACAGCGAGGTTACTCTTTAAAACACTCTACTACAATTTCGTCTCAAACATTTCGACCTCTGGGTATGTTTGGTTTCTGGTATTTCTATCCCAGTTCTATTCATCCATAAATGGCCACATGCATAGATACCATTACCTGTTGTAGGTGGAGAATTCCTTCAGGGGAGTTTCTGGTGGTCAGGCGAGTTCACGTGTACTGTATATATATCATCTTATAGCGATGGCCCGGGGGTACTCATTTGAACCACTGTTATGCCCGACTCAACTATTTACATATAGAGCTAATATTTGTGTAGCTTGAATATTTCTGAGTGCAGCGATTATCAATATTCACTCAGACATACCTGCTACTGCACACCCAGGTACATGAAGATTACAGGAAGTTGTAAGGGATGCTCTCGTATATATAGGGACGGTAGGGTAGCCTAGTTGTTGCAGCGTTCGCTCGTCACGGCGAAGACCCGGGTTCGATTGCCCACATGACTACAATGTGTGAAGTCCATTTCTTGTGTCCCCGTCGTAATATTGCTGGAATATTGCTAAAAGCGGCGTAAAACCACACTCTCTCACACTTGAAATACCTCTCACAGCACTCTTCCCAACCCACTAGCATTAACTGATTGAAGTCGACATAAAATGCCTATGAAACTTCAAAGGTCTTTTAAACTCGCGGTGGTTTGTTATAAGGGAGGTAACTCTATGAAACTGTTATTCAAAGGTTTCGGCCATGGTTTGCACACTGTTGGTTTGTGTTTTATCGCACTATTGGTTTGTGTTTTATCGCCAGTGTCAGGTCAAAATCCGGAAGAATAAAATGGCCGGGTCTTGTGGTGGGACTCTCTGTGGTTGACATATGTCATAAATACCGTATCGCTGAAGACCCTGACTCGGTTCGATTCCCCACACATAGGTACATTGTGTGAAGCCCATTTTGGATGTTTTCAGTGTATGACACTCGTCCGACCGCCCGAGACGGGCTAGATTTCTGACGGACGGTCAACATTTACAGCTAACCAGCCCGATGGACTGGTAATAATTGTAGATAAAATGTTCCATACATCCGAGTAATAATAATGGCTGTTGTGAATAGACTGTTAGACAGTAAATACATGTCTCAGGTTCATTAAATTATTGATTGTGACTAAAAATTGAGTTATTTTCTTTGGATTGTTTGGTCTGGTTAAATGCATTTGGGGCTGGTAACATTTTGAAGTTATCAGGACTGATGTCTAACCGTATGTTTGGCTTATTTCATCCACTGGTGTCCCCCGTCGTCATATTGCTGCAATATTGCTAAAATCGGCGTAAAACCTTACTCTGGAACTTGGGTTTCTAACTACGAAAAGAAACAAGTGAATATAAAACATTTATTAACAACGTATACACAAATAAAAACAGATAGAGTTGGCACAAATTTCAGCTTGAGTCAGCTGGTAACGTTACAATCCAGAGAGACAGGTGACAGCATGAAATATGCATACATCACGATCTCCCATCATACAGGGTAGACCTGAGGGTCTGGACGGAGGTGGGCGTGGCGTTCACCGTCGGCGCTCCCGAACACAGTAGCCTCCTCCCTCTACCCTGTACCCCCTCCTACAGCGATCACACTGATACTTGGAGGGACATATTTCACAGTTGGAATCGTCACAGTCTGTAACAGACACCCATAGTTAGTATTACGTCAAAATACTAAAGCTCAGAGCGAATGGACCCTCAAACAAAAGCGCCTACGTGTTTTGTACACTGTCTGTACGTACTTATCTCCAACGTTCTTATAACTGATCAAACAAAACTACTCATGTTATATTTTTGTTACAAAAAGTTGTTTATGTTCTTTTCGCGACTGTTTTTCTATAACTGAATAAACAATACTGATCTTTTTGTACACAATTATATGTACCTTTCTCGATCGGTTTGCTAATTGACCAAACTAAATTTTAATTTTATCCATTGCTAATGTTACATGGGTTCTAGTTTCGTCCCTTACAGTTTAGTTTTCTTTAGTTGTAAAGTATTTAGACTATATCCGACATGGTTACTCACCGTTACAGAAGCCAACTGGGTTGCAGAATGCCCCGAGTCCACAGTATGGGACACACACACCAAACCTGCAGGGAATATTTACATAAATGTTTATATTCATATCCTGATGGGAGATTACGACAGTTACAGCCAATGACATTTGTCGATGAATAACGACAGATACAACCAATTACGACAGATACAGCCAATGACATTTGTCGATGAATAACGACAGATACAACCAATTACGACAGATACAGCCAATGACATTTGTCGATGAATAACGACAGATACAACCAATTACGACAGATACAGCCAATGACATTTGTCGATGAATAACGACAGATACAACCCATTACGACAGATACAGCCAATGACATTTGTCGATGAATAACGACAGATACAACCCATTACGACAGTTACAGCCAATGACATTTGTCGATGAATAACGACAGATACAACCAATTACGACAGATACAGCCAATGACATTTGCCAATGACGATGAATAACGACAGATATAACCAATTACGACAGATACAGCCAAAGACATTTGTCGATGAATAACGACAGATACAACCAATTACGACAGATACAGCCAATGACATTTGTCGATGAATAACGACAGATACAACCAATTACGACAGATACAGCCAATGACATTTGTCGATGAATAACGACAGATACAACCAATTACGACAGATACAGCCAATGACATTTGTCGATGAATAACGACAGATACAACCAATTACGACAGATACAGCCAATGACATTTGTCGATGAATAACGACAGATACAACCAATTACGACAGTTACAGCCAAAGACATTTGTCGATGAATAACGACAGATACAACCAATTACGACAGATACAGCCAATGACATTTGTCGATGAATAACGACAGATACAACCAATTACGACAGATACAGCCAATGGCATTTGTCGATGAATAACGACAGATACAACCAATTACGACAGATACAGCCAATGACATTTGTCGATGAATAACGACAGATACAACCAATTACGACAGTTACAGCCAAAGACATTTGTCGATGAATAACGACAGATACAACCAATTACGACAGTTACAGCCAATGACATTTGTCGATGAATAACGACAGATACAACCAATTAATTACGACAGATACAGCCAATGACATTTGTCGATGAATAACGACAGATACAACCAATTACGACAGATACAGCCAATGACATTTGTCGATGAATAACGACAGATACAACCAATTACGACACAGTTACAGCCAATGACATTTGTCGATGAATAACGACAGATACAACCAATTACGACAGATACAGCCAATGACATTTGTCGATGAATAACGACAGATACAACCAATTACGACAGATACAGCCAATGGCATTTGTCGATGAATAACGACAGATACAACCAATTACGACAGATACAGCCAATGACATTTGTCGATGAATAACGACAGATACAACCAATTACGACAGATACAGCCAATGACATTTGTCGATGAATAACGACAGATACAACCAATTACGACAGATACAGCCAATGACATTTGTCGATGAATAACGACAGATACAACCAATTACGACAGTTACAGCCAAATGACATTTGTCGATGAATAACGACAGATACAACCAATTACGACAGTTACAGCCAATGACATTTGTCGATGAATAACGACAGATACAACCAATTACGACAGATACAGCCAATGACATTTGTCGATGAATAACGACAGATACAACCAATTACGACAGATACAGCCAATGACATTTGTCGATGAATAACGACAGATACAACCAATTACGACAGATACAGCCAATGACATTTGTCGATGAATAACGACAGATACAACCAATTACGACAGATACAGCCAATGACATTTGTCGATGAATAACGACAGATACAACCAATTACGACAGATACAGCCAATGACATTTGTCGATGAATAACGACAGATACAACCAATTACGACAGTTACAGCCAATGACATTTGTCGATGAATAACGACAGATACAACCAATTACGACAGATACAGCCAATGACATTTGTCGATGAATAACGACAGATACAACCAATTACGACAGATACAGCCAATGGCATTTGTCGATGAATAACGACAGATACAACCAATTACGACAGATACAGCCAATGACATTTGTCGATGAATAACGACAGATACAACCAATTACGACAGATACAGCCAATGACATTTGTCGATGAATAACGACAGATACAACCAATTACGACAGTTACAGCCAATGACATTTGTCGATGAATAACGACAGATACAACCAATTACGACAGATACAGCCAATGACATTTGTCGATGAATAACGACAGATACAACCAATTACGACAGTTACAGCCAAAGACATTTGTCGATGAATAACGACAGATACAACCAATTACGACAGATACAGCCAATGACATTTGTCGATGAATAACGACAGATACAACCAATTACGACAGATACAGCCAATGACATTTGTCGATGAATAACGACAGATACAACCAATTACGACAGATACAGCCAATGACATTTGTCGATGAATAACGACAGATACAACCAATTACGACAGATACAGCCAATGACATTTGTCGATGAATAACGACAGATACAACCAATTACGACAGATACAGCCAATGGCATTTGTCGATGAATAACGACAGATACAACCAATTACGACAGATACAGCCAATGACATTTGTCGATGAATAACGACAGATACAACCAATTACTTACAGATACAGCCAATGACATTTGTCGATGAATAACGACAGATACAACCAATTACGACAGTTACAGCCAATGACATTTGTCGATGAATAACGACAGATACAACCAATTACGACAGATACAGCCAATGACATTTGTCGATGAATAACGACAGATACAACCAATTACGACAGATACAGCCAATGACATTTGTCGATGAATAACGACAGATACAACCAATTACGACAGATACAGCCAATGACATTTGTCGATGAATAACGACAGATACAACCAATTACGACAGATACAGCCAATGGCATTTGTCGATGAATAACGACAGATACAACCAATTACGACAGATACAGCCAATGACATTTGTCGATGAATAACGACAGATACAACCAATTACGACAGATACAGCCAAAGACATTTGTCGATGAATAACGACAGATACAACCAATTACGACAGATACAGCCAATGACATTTGTCGATGAATAACGACAGATACAACCAATTACGACAGATACAGCCAATGACATTTGTCGATGAATAACGACAGATACAACCAATTACGACAGATACAGCCAATGACATTTGTCGATGAATAACGACAGATACAACCAATTACGACAGATACAGCCAATGACATTTGTCGATGAATAACGACAGATACAACCAATTACGACAGATACAGCCAATGACATTTGTCGATGAATAACGACAGATACAACCAATTACGACAGATACAGCCAATGACATTTGTCGATGAATAACGACAGATACAACCAATTACGACAGATACAGCCAATGACATTTGTCGATGAATAACGACAGATACAACCAATTACGACAGATACAGCCAATGACATTTGTCGATGAATAACGACAGATACAACCAATTACGACAGATACAGCCAATGACATTTGTCGATGAATAACGACAGATACAACCAATTCTTACAGATACAGCCAATGACATTTGTCGATAATAACCAATTACAACCAATTCGACAGATACAGCCAATGGCATTTGTCGATGAATAACGACAGATACAACCAATTACGACAGATACAGCCAATGACATTTGTCGATGAATAACGACAGATACAACCAATTACGACAGATACAGCCAATGACATTTGTCGATGAATAACGACAGATACAACCAATTACGACAGATACAGCCAATGACATTTGTCGATGAATAACGACAGATACAACCAATTACACAGATACAACCAATGTCATTTGTCGATGAATAACGACAGATACAACCAATTACGACAGATACAGCCAATGACATTTGTCGATGAATAACGACAGATACAACCAATTACGACAGTTACAGCCAATGACATTTGTCGATGAATAACGACAGATACAACCAATTACGACAGTTACAGCCAAAGACATTTGTCGATGAATAACGACAGATACAACCAATTACGACAGATACAGCCAATGACATTTGTCGATGAATAACGACAGATACAACCAATTACGACAGTTACAGCCAATGACATTTGTCGATGAATAACGACAGATACAACCAATTACGACAGATACAGCCAATGACATTTGTCGATGAATAACGACAGATACAACCAATTACGACAGTTACAGCCAAAGACATTTGTCGATGAATAACGACAGATACAACCAATTACGACAGATACAGCCAATGACATTTGTCGATGAATAACGACAGATACAACCCATTACGACAGTTACAGCCAAAGACATTTGTCGATGAATAACGACAGATACAACCAATTACGACAGATACAGCCAATGACATTTGTCGATGAATAACGACAGATACAACCAATTACGACAGTTACAGCCAAAGACATTTGTCGATGAATAACGACAGATACAACCAATTACGACAGATACAGCCAATGACATTTGTCGATGAATAACGACAGATACAACCAATTACGACAGTTACAGCCAATGACATTTGTCGATGAATAACGACAGATACAACCAATTACGACAGATACAGCCAATGACATTTGTCGATGAATAACGACAGATACAACCAATTACGACAGATACAGCCAATGACATTGGTCGATGAATAACGACAGATACAACCAGTTACGACAGTTACAGCCAATGACATTTGACGGTGAATAACTATTAAACAGTCATACGCAAAAAAAGGGTGGCAACATGAAAAAGGCACATCAAAGCGAACGTAAAATATTTGTTCGTTAGTTTTGTAAATCCCGTATCTGAACTTTGTGTTTTCAGCCAGCGCACAAGCTTATTTTCAACAAAAACATTTAATCGCGTTGTAGATCTGTAGATATGGTGGTGTGGAGAGAGCCCCATCGCTCAGTGTAGGGTGGTGGGTTGTTGTGTATACCTGTTAATGCGCTTCACACACAGGTCACCTTGACACCGCGTACATCCAAACTGCCCCGCACAAGATCCAGCTCGGCAGCCCGACCCACAATCTGTAAACAGAACGCAGTAGGGTAACGACGATATATACATGGATATTTCCGGAATGACACATGTTGTAGACGTTTTAACTTACTGACTGAGGGAGTTAATCATGGGGAAGTAAGGGAACTTCGGAGTCTATCAATGATAATAATGAATGTTTTGAGAGTGCATCATTACTTGCACTTCCTGATGGCCATAGCTGTGTGTACAATGATTGGTGTATGACGTGGAATTTGCATGTGTACGATTTTCAATTTCGAACAACAAAAACAACAACAAAACGTCTGGAAACAAACACTAACAACTGTGTGATGCAAGCTGACTGTCAAAATTAATGGTCTACAGTGATTTATCGACCTAATGCTTAATAGTTTCCTAATTTTGCTATCCCGTCAGGCTGGCTGTGCCTGAAAGTTACTTGCCCACAAAATAATTCACTATCCCGAAATGTGACGGTAGCAAAAGATTACAAAAATAGGTGAGAATAAGATATTGTCGGCATGACACGAGTTTCATCATTAAGCTTCTGACAAGACTGACTGACTGAGTTTAGTTTTACGCCGCTTTTAGCAATATTCCAGCAATATCACGGCGGGGGACACCAGAAATGGGCTTAACACATTGTGCCCATGTGGGGAATCGAACCCGGGCCTTCGGCGTGACGAGCGAACGCTTTAACCACTAGGCTACCCCACCGCCCCCTTCTGACATGAGGAACATTTCTACCAGGCCATAATCTCTCATGAATTAAAAGTGTATTATAACGTAATACGTCGGAGAGAGTGATATACATCTATTTACAAAATGGCCCCATGAAAATTCACTAGCCAGGAGGGCCAGTGACTGCATGTGTAGATTTACTGACTCGGCTGGATTTTTACTAGCCACGGGCTAGCGGGCCAGTGGCTATTTCGCACACCGGGTATAATTGATTGGTCAGTGTTGTTGGGTATCCTCACTGCACATTCATAGGCTTCATCCTTAATTCGTTACTGAATATTGTTGTGCATTTCAGTGACACTGGTCATTAATTTGTATCTAACTGTCGACCTTACTCTGATCAATCCGATTTGTACATTTCATTTCATGAATAAATATCCCCATAATACTCACTGTTGGTGAAGAGGAAAGCCGAGGTGTAGCACACGGCCAGACACAGAGTCAGGGCAAACAGCACAGTGTTCGTCATGGTGGAGGAGAGTGGCTCCCGACAACACTTCCCCTATATATATACTCACTCACGTTCCGCCTGTCTCGTGAAATTCTCGGAATTGTGACGTAAACATTACCTCATGTGTGTATCTTCTACCGGATACATTACTGCATTCATTTCGTCAACAACGTGATCGTCTTATTAGTGCAGCAAGGGGGGAGTGTTGTCGGGACGCCGTGGCTGTAGCGTCGACTGGGGAGGCAGGGCGACCGTGTGTCCGCTCATCAGGAAACAGTTACACAGGGTACATCAAACTGTACCCCTTTGGGGTAACACCACCATGAATGTACCTCATTTCATGTTGATCATTCAGAACACATGCTGTTGGCGTCTAGAATTCGTGGAAAAGTTTATTTTCGTGCTCGGTGATGTATTTGACATCTTTTACCATCGTAACCAATATTTTCTTAAATCTATAATTTCTTAATTTCTTACATTAACCGACATAATAACTCACCAATCCAGGATTACAACTCAATCAGTGGCAGCTTCCACACACACACACACACACACACACACACACACACACACACACGAGAGAGATCAAGTAGAAAAGCCGAACAACTGTATATTCACAACACTTTCTGCTCTGGACATAAAGCATGACAAGAAACTTTTTTTGATTACTTAAACCAGGTCATTTTTTTCCAGTATATTGTAACCATCCCAAGGAAAACACGTTGTTTTGGTAGATTCTCCATGCTCTCGCTGTTTACATCAGATTGTTGTTGTTGATGACAGCTGTGGTATACAGCCCAATGGTGCAGATAACACCAGCCTCGACTAGATTTGTGCCAGTGCATGGCCTCCGAACAGCTGTCTGGTTTAATTTTTCTCTAACTTATGTAATTGGGATGTTTCTTTTGCTTTGAGAGAGTTTTGAACGGTAACTTTAAACTCTAAGGATAAAACATACCATAGTTCACAACGCAGTAGGTTTTTTATTTCGTCAGTTTCGGTTTGGCAGATAGACAGTCGCGTGACATTGAATACCGTCGTGGAGTACTACGTAGGCCATGACCTACTTTCATTGTGTTAGGTCAGGTGGTAGCTCAGTGGTTAAAGCGATAGTTTGTCGCGCCCAAGTTCCGGGTTCGATTCTTCATGTCGGAACCTCTTTAGGTAGTACCTGATATGATATTGCTGAAATATTGCTAAAAGTTGCGTAAAAACGTATCCGCATTCACCAACTGATAGAAAACTGTCGATGTCTGATCATGTGTCTGGACTATACGGAAAATAAGGTTGATAAGGGACAAAGGGGATTATAGCAAGAGTTTAACTTTGACCTGCGAAACTACGGGTCTAAAGGACCCCAATTAGTAATTTCAAGGATCCTATAGGAAATATTAGGGTCTTGTAAATCAATGAAATTGTGTAGTGTGATATACTGTAATATTTGATATTTATTTAATTACAGGAACATTGTTGATTGTCAAGAATGTGGTTCAGTCAAGGTGCATCCCTCCGGACGTAATATGTGCGTCCATTCTTTAAATTTGTGCATCATGATCCAATATTTCTGTGTCACGTAAAATTCTGTCAGTTGCATCTTTCATTTGACAGTTAGTTTCATCTGCATATTTCAGTGCCTCATTTCCAATTTCCAAGACCCGTGAAGATCCGGGGTAGAATAGGTCTTCAGCAACCCATGTGCTTGCCATAAAAAGGCGACTATCTTGTCGTAAGAGGCGACTAACGGGATCGGGTGGTCAGTTTCGCTGACTTGGTTGACACATGTCATCGGTTCCCAATTGCGCAGATCGATGCTCATGCTGTTGATCACTGGATTGTCTGGTCCAGACTCGATTATTTACAGACCGCCGCCATATAGCTGGAATATTGCTGAGTGCGGCGCAAAACTCAACTCACTCACTCACTCCAATTTCCAAACAGTCAATACATTTTCTCTTAGTTTCACATTTAAAAACGTGTTCTTTTTTTACATAATTAATTTATTTGAAAATACAGTATTGATTTAAATATTTTCAGACAGTGCTTGTGAACATTAGCAAGTAATGCTCGGAGAAGAGTTGGATCCGATTATCGTAGGTATACCGGACTCTCTTGAGACGTACCGGCAACATGAAATAGTCAAGGCGTTGTGATCAGAATCACTCCGTCGTGTTGTTATTTTCAGTAATTGAATCATTGGGTTGGTTTTTTTAAATAAAATAATGTTCATACTTGACACCCCTAGCCGAAATCACTTGTTATTCATATCTCTACCCCTACTGCGAGGGGATGGTTTCAACGAGCGAACACTCTTAACAACTAGGCCACATTGCCATCCATAGGCCTTCAGCAGCTGAGAGTGAAGAAGTTATTAAACGGAGGATGTATGATTAAGAGGATGTAAACATTAAATGTGTGTGCGTGCGTGTGTGTGTGCGTGTGTGTAAATTCCAGACCGTGTCACTGTAGAATCGATGCCAATCTTGCTATTGACAAGTTACATGAAGTCTAACCATCTATAATGCTGTTAAGGATTAACCTGTAGATGTACTGAGAGTAAGCCTGCTCGCTGGTACAACGTGGTTTCCAATGGAACCATCCTAAGAGCGCCTGAATCACGACTAGTTAGCACTGTCTGGAGGACAATGAGAGGTTCACACGATGGATGCCAGTTTCGAGGCCAGCATGTCAAGGAATGGGAATATTTTGACCTTGCCTGACACGGCGGTTCGTGTCGGTTTTACAGATATTTTTTGAAGTGCCTTATGACGCTGTGTCACGTGTCTGAGCAGAGAACCAATGGTGTCGGAACTTTGTGGATATCGGATATGGGTGATACAATTTACATGTAGCAACAGGACAGAACTAATTACATATATGCGCAGTTTCCTTTCGTTTGAGTCAGGTGCATGGGCTTTGCCAATCCATATCTCTTTAATGTAAACCTAAAGTAGTTTAAACAGGCTCATTCTCGACTTCGTTGAAACTATCAAAAAAACTATTGAAAGAGGCAGAGATATGTCTGCATTTTTTAAGACTGACTGAGTTTAGTTTTACGCCGCTTTTATAAATATTCACGCAATATCACGGCCGGGGACACCAGAAATGGGCTTCACACATTCTGCCCATGTGGGGAATCGAACCCGGGTCTTCGGCGTGACGAACCAACGCTTTAACCACTAGGCTACCCCACGGCCCCCATTTTATAAGAACAAAGAAAAAGTGAGACGTTATATCGAAGACGAATGTCACAAAGTATAGTACAATGATTAAAGAGGTTAATGCCTTAATAGCATTTTGTTTTACGTCAATCGAAATGTTGACAACTTTTGTAATTTAATGACAAGAGGTTTGCAGAAACGTTTTGGAAATTGATATGTGTTCCTTGCTCATGCTATGAAAGAAAGCGTGTGAATGTGTAACACCCCTCACACCGTGTACTATAAGCCTTCAGCCTCGCCGATATCATGAATAAAGATTGATGGAAAGTGTGTGTTAACTTCACGTTGACTTTCAAATCCCCCAGCCCGTCCAGTACAGACGTCGCAACAAATCACAACACAAAATAAGCTTTTAATGGGTCGTGTGTGTGTGTCTTTAAAAAACAGTTTGTTTTTCTTTTCTTAAAAGGCTCAAAGCATTCCCACTCTGCCAAGTTACACACTTCGACGTCTTGGCTGTTCCCGTATACTAGTATGTTGATGGTCAGTTCGGGAACCCCACAAAAACGAATGTTAATAAAACTACATAAGTCCTGGATGCCGGGCACCTTTCACTCGTCTACGGGCAGTACACACATGGAACAGCAACACAGCATCGAGTCTGGTATTGGGTGGCACAGTTGTGAGGCCTACTGATCACTGTGAACAGGCTGATATTGCTGGTCGGTGTGCAAGTCTATGCATACACACTAAACCATGCAGGTGACAACAGAGCTCATTACTTAGCCCTGTGGTTAAAGCGCTCGCTTGTCACACTAGAAGCCGAGTTTGATCCCGCATATCGTGGAATGTCAACGTGTGAAGCCACTTCACACATTTCCTCCCTTACATCCGTGGATGTAATAGAGTGTAGGTAAAAGATATAGGTTGATATGCGGTAACTTAGCAAAGTTTGAGAGTGTAACCCAGTTATTGCAGTCCTCTCCCTAAAGATCATCACTTGATGTAATTGAGAAAATACATTTATATACTTGCAAGAAATGTTTAGGAGGAAAGTAAGTACACCTAATGCCATGGTATATTGAGATTGTGGAAGATTTCCCATACACATTTTGCTAAGGCTAGAATAATAAAATATTAGATACGTCTGTTATATATGCCACCTGATAGATACCCTAGACAGTGTTATGATATGATGTTAATGTACGATAACAACGGGAAGACTAACTGGGTGACTAACATCCGAGAATTGTTAAATACAATAGGTTTTGGGGAGGTATGGCAAAGGCAAAATGTTGACTTTCATACAAATTTTGTGAATAATGTTACTCAAAGGCTCAAAGATATATATACACAAGAATGGGTAGGAGCACTGTCATTGTCAAGTAAATGTTTCTATTATAGAATGTTTAAATCCCATATATACAGAGAGAATTATCTGCTGTCACTAAATATCAAGAAATTTCGAAAGGCTTTTGCTCGGTTTAGGTGTTCCTCACATGACTTGGCAATCGAAACAGGGAGATATTATAAAATAGAGAGGAAAATACAATTTGTACATTTTGTGATCTTAATTGTGTAGAAGATGAATATCACTTCCTCTTAATTTGTCCATTATATTGTGAGTTAAGAAAAAAATGTCCCAAGATATTATTCTGTATATCCTGATAGGGTGAAATTTTCTGTTAATGAGTACTGATGACAATGTTCTTATCCGTAAGTTGTCAACCTTTATCTATCAAGCATTGTCTCTAAGAAATAAACATAATAATTCATAGAATGTATGTACTCATATTGTTATTTGTTACGATATGGTATGATGTGGTGCGATATGATATGATACATGGTATGATATGACATGATGTAATATGGGGTGTTATGATATGATGTGATACGACAAAGTATGTGTAATGCGATGTTATATGATGTGATACATTTTGATGCGATATGACATATTGTGATTTGACTATTTTTATTCTTTTCTATGATAGTGTATACTATGTTCTTGTATACTATGGGCCTGTGGCCTTCAGTATGAATAAAGATTGATTGATTGACTTGATGACGAACAGGTGAGGTGAAGTGAGGTGAAATTGGGTTTTACGTCGTGCTTGAGAATATTTCACTCATATGACGACGTGCATGCGTGTGTATGTGTATGTGCGGCTGCTTGTACTAGCCCAGACTTAAGCTGGTTTTATAGTGCTAGCCCACTCAGATACCATGCCGCAGTGAAGCATGAATACCCCACTCAGACACATTATACTGACTCCGAGCCGACCAGTCCTTGTTGTACCCATTAATGCCGAGCGCCAGGCAAGGACCAAGTACCATATTTTAACGTCTTTTGGTATGACGCGGTCGGGGATCGAACCCGCGACCTTCCGCTCTTCGGGCGGACGCTCTAACCACTACACCACGGAAGCGGTTGATGACAAACAGAATAAGCCGAATATTTACACACTTTTCTTAAGATACCTTATTAACAACAAGCAAATTGGTACCAAGCCTTGCTGTATAACGTCATCGGCCTCCTTTTCATTGGTTTGTGCTTCATCCACATGCGTTAACTGAGCATGGTTTTCCAGCATCACGGCAGGGGAGCATTGCATTAACTGAGCAATGGCAATATGTATGCTCATGTGTCCACGTTTGGCATGCAGCACGGTGTACAGGTGCCGCGTGGTTATATACGCTTCGTCCCCCATGAACTCTAGTACACTCAAACCCAGTGCATGTTGATAGTCTCTACAAAGGTTAACTGTAAAACTCTCTAACTTCAAGACATTATGGCTATTTCGAATCCCGACAGTTTATGGGCGATCGTGAGCGGGTCATCTGACTTTTCTGAGTAAAACCTAGGTAATAAGAATAAGGTTTTATCAGAAATACGTCAAGGATTATTTCTTTGTGACATCTCCCTGCTTGCACTGATCCGGGAGGACAGACTGGTGGCTTTGTCAGTTACAGCAAACAAATTTCTCACAAACAAGGACCATAAATGAAATAATGTTTAATCAGCAGATATTATATATCTCATTCTAGATAATACAAATAATCTCAGAGAGGCAGCCTAAATGTCAAACATGAAATAGCAGGCTGTTTTCAACATGAAGTAAGTACCTCATCTGGGCACAAGACATCTTCCGTCCTCATAGCTCCATGTCTTGCACCTAACGTACTTACAAAAGTTCATCACTGCCACGTCTTACGAAACTTGAAAACAATAACTGGAACAGGAGATGTGAGAGATGATCGCCACTGAGTCAAGTCACATGAAAAACGTTTCAAGAACTGTTAGCACATTCATATAACTGGGGGCACCGGTTTGAGGTATTGAACCTCTGTTCAAGTGACAAAATCACACTAAATTTTGCAAAAATATATATTCAAATGAAATATTGAGTCACTTGGTTTAAACATAGTTGCATCTGTAGAACCATGTTAATCTTGGAAGGCCCAACGTGAAGCCTTGACTGACACACAATAGCAGATTCCACAGTGAATCACCCATACAGTATAGGTAAGTCAGTTGCCTGGCCATCTACTGAAATAACACACATAACATCGCCTGCCCTGTGAGGATAAACGTACATATAACTCTTTTAAACACTGTCACTGAATATTTAGATGATTTTGGCACATGGGAGTCTGTATCACAACAAACATCAACTGTATTTCTCAAGTAACTTCGTCATGATGAAGAGTGTGGATCAGATCCTGTTCAGTGTGACTGTTCACCTACCCACTGAACTGTCACACACTTAATGTTCATGATATATATATAACATGCAGGTAAGGTCTAGAAATAAGACACTTATAGCTGGAAGTTATTTTCATATGGCATATAATCCTTATATCACAGATACATGGTTTCAATCAAATACATAAACTCAAACATAGGAATGCTCATACCACTCTCACCTTCCCATATGGTAATGAACAAATTTCACCCACCCTTTCATACAATGCCAATATCACCTTCCCTTCACACAGAACAAATATCCCCACTGGTTCATGGAGAACAAATATCCCCACTGGTTCATGGAGAACAAATATCCCCCACTGGTTCATGGGGAACAAATTTCACCCAGCCTCTAGTGATGGACATATTTCAAGGTCACAAGAGTCAGGCTAAACTCTGCGACCACCTGTGTTCACCATGTCCTCTGAGTGTGCAGTTTTCCTCACAATGTGCAGTCTACATCCCATTGATGCTGTCAGACCTGAATGAGTAGGGACTGACTGTTTCCACCTCATCATCATCGTTGGCCTCATCTGACGCACCATCATCATCCTCACCCAGGAGAATCGTGGACATGGTCTGGTTGAGGACGGGCATGTTCCTGGCTTTGGCTGGCGTGCTTGTCCACAGCGGGTTCTTGTCTGTTGACCTGTACACAGATCGGAACTGATCCCGAGATATCTTCTTAAGTCCTGTCTTAACTGTCCATGAATTAGATTCTGAGGTCATCGATTTGGAGGATTTGACAGACTTCAGTGACCTGATGCAGGAACTGTCTGGCACAAGAAAAACTGGCTTTTGCAAATCTTTTGAACATTTAGTTTTTGAATACGGAGACTTCTTGAAGTTCTCCTTGGATACCAGGTACTCGTTTGATGAGGTTTTCTGTTTGTCAGCTGGTGACAAAGGTGGGGAAGTTGGTAGTTGTGGCATGGATCGTCTTAAATTGTCAGAGTCAGATTTAGAAGGCGACCGAGATGAAATATGATTTCTAGAAGATTTGCTTAAGTCATTGTAGGAAGAAGACTTATGACTCATAAGGTTAGACTTGTCATCAGTGGGGTTTTTACTTTTTGAGTTGTAAAAGTTCTGGGAGAAGTCTTTGCACTGTTGTGTTGTCTTTGAGGATAGGTCATTGGTGATCTGGGATGGGTGTTTAGCACACTTTGATCTTGGAGATCCCTTTGGTGTTTTGAACAGTTCTTTGCTAGAAGTCTTGTTCAACTTCATTCGTTCAATCTTGACCTGAGTTGGGCTGTTGAGCTGCAGCTGAGACAGATGTGATGAAGGGGAGAGTCCTTGACTGGACACTGACGAACATCTGCTGTTTCTCAGTGGAGATAACACAAGGTCATCTGACTGATATTTTCTGGAACTTACTTTGGGATTTCTACAAATGCCAGCATCAACCTTCCTTCCAGGTGAAGCTGGTGTTTCATCCATCTGATTAGATCTACGTTGGTGGTGTCCCACAGTCTCCTGTTGGTTTCCATTTTGCCTCAAGACTATATTTCTACCTCTGGGTGCAGAACATCTAACCTGGTAGTTCTTCTCTACTCTCCCTTCACCAACCGAGGTCAGGTGTTCCCCTGACTCATCTGCCTGCCTGTTTCCAGCAGGGACTTTAGAACTAGTTTCATAACTGTTCCGATCCACAGAAAACTTTTCCCTGTTGTTTCTCCCAAAGTTTGACTGCAATTGTGATTTCCTTGATTTTGCAGAAAGCTGTTCATTGTCAAGCATCAGTCCTCCTTCTGAGAGAAACATTTGGGTTCCTCTTCCTGTCTGTTCCATTGTTAGCTGCCTCCTTGCCTTAACATGACCTCGACTCAGAACGTTCTCAGTGACAACCTTAGAATCGGACTGTGATCCTGTTTGCTTCAAGTGGTCAAAGATCTGCTTCTTGTTTCGAGATCCTGCAGAGAAGCAGGTTTGGGGTGTTCCATTCATGTTTCTGTTGTCAACATGGCTTGACTTAACTGACAGTGCATCAGGTGTTCCTCCACAATGTTTACTGTTATCTTGCGAGTTGAAGGGCATGGGTGCTCCCAGGTTTTGGTTGTAAATATAGCCTACAGCAGCGTTTGGGGTTCCGTTAGGAGTTCCTATGATTCTGTCGTCTCTATGTTCGGGGGTTGTCGGCGTTCCCCTGTTCCTGCCAATATTGAGTGCAGTGATGGCTTGAGGTACAGGAGACATAATGTGGCCATGTTCTGGGACGGAGTATCCAAATCCTTCACATAACGTCACAGAATCATCCTTCTCCGACACCCTGTCCTTCAGCCAGCACTGGTTCCTCATGTCACAGCCAGCATGTTCTCTATGCTGTGTATGTTCTCTCGGACTGGAGGCGACAGCTTGTTCAAGTCCTGGTTCTAACTTTACCTTGGTGATCACAACATCATCATCATAACATCCACTGTTGTCTGTAGTGTCATCTTGGTTCAGATTGTTCATAGGGTAATGTCCATTGTTACCAACAGCTCTTCCAATATAATTTTCTTCTTTGCTCAACCAATTCATGTGTGAGTGATGATGATGAGAGGGACTGCCCTGAAGCTGTGACTCTTCCCACACATCAGCCCTTGGCCGAAGTAGAGATGGAGGCGGAGACTTCAGGCAAGGCAGTGTATCCTCCTCAGCTTGTACACGACTTGGTCGAGCTGGAGACAATATCTCAACAACTGTTTTAGGCACTGGAGAGGTCAAATAGTCGAAAAGCTGCTCAGAGGTGTAGGCAGGCTGTATCGGAATGAATGCTCGTTTTCTTGCTCGGACAATTCTTCTTTGGCACATGGCATCAGTCGTGAGATCTTGGGAAGTTCCCAACAGCTCAGATGAGTCATTTTTTCTGTCAGTATTAGTGGGCTTTGATGAAACTACTGGACCAGAACCAGCATCAACCACCCATGTCTTGTGTTGGTTGCATGTAGGCAGTTCTGGCTGGTTATAACTGCCTCGGTCGACAGGTGAGAATGGCATCCTGTTGGAATTGTCCCCACTGGGCAGAGGTACTGTGTATGTCGTATTCATATCACCAACCGGTCGTGTTATAGGATACAGTTGAGGATGTTGTGGAGATGACCGATTGTTAAAGTTGTGATCTTTATCACTTTTCTTTCTAATTTTTGATGGTGACTTGAGAAGAACATCATCTGTTTTGTTTGGCTGGGTGGATTCAAGCAGATTTCTCAAAGTTACTGGCTGTATCGGAGCTCCAGGATGACGATTTTCATTTGCTTGATCTTTGACCCAATTCATGACTCGGTTTATCTTATCTTCATTCAAACAAAACATTCGTAGAGGCCCCTTGCCAACCATCTTGTCAGCACCCATTCTTATCCCTGGACCACTCTCGAAGCCACTGTCCTCTGGCAGTCCCTTCTCCATATCAAATCGTACCATGTTACTCTTCGACAAACTTCCACATGCCCCTTTCAGATCTCCTGTGCCAATACTGTCCTCTGCTTTACTTGATATTTCTTGTGATTGAGAATTTAGGGAACCAAAGTGTTTCCTTACAGACAAATCTGATCCCGAACTCGGAGACTGATTGCTTCCAAGAGAATACCATACATTGTCATTGAAACTTGACACATCTTGCTTCAGTTTGCAAGGGTATTCAGCTCTTGGTGAACAGAGGTCAAGGTCACCATCAACTTCATCTGAGCACGACTCAAGGTCAGTCAAGCGGTCTTCCCTCTCAGCATCTAAGCTGGAGGTGTCTCTGGAGCTGATGGTCTCTGCATCACTCGGCTCTTTCTCATCCTCACAGATGAAAGAGAGCAGTTTGCTTGCATCATCTGAAAGTTAAACATAAGCAAGTGGATGAGTGAATGAATGTTTTACAAATACTTTCAGCATTATACCAGCTGGACAAAATCAGTAATTTAACCACTAGGCTACACCCTCGGCCTAAATGTGTAAGTGAAAAGAGTGTTGTTTTAAGGGTTCCCAGGGAGCTATATTCCAGCCAAATCACTTAAGTATGTTCACCAGGAAGTCAGTTACCAAGTTTCAGCCTGGTTTTGGAAATCCAACATGATAAATACTGTGTGAAAGTAGGCCTGTTTACTGTGCACACTTGCAAACACCGGCACTTTTAGACAAAACATTTTGTGTTGACAGGTTACTTGATAATATAAAAGTAAACAACAAATTGCCCAAACTTCTCTTTCCAAACAAAACCTTTTTTTATCTTTACTTCAGATAAAGATTTGAAGTCATGGACACCTTAACCAATGACAACACAAAGGAAGTAAACTACACGATACTTGGAGAATTACCTGCAAAATGGGAAACATTGGCTCTGCCTGACACGTAGTTGCTGTAAATCTGAAACATTTTGTAGCATTAGTAAACGTAAGTACATACATAACGCGCCAGTACAGTCATGCCCCGCTTATCCGAACCTCAGATATCCGGAAAACTCGCCTTCCGAACGAAAATTCCTCAAAACGAATTCACAACGTTGTAAAATTACTCACTTATCCGGAAATCCAGTTTCCGTAACCGGACGGTCATATTCACATACAAAATGCTAAATTATATGCATTTTTTTCTCGTATCTGATCTGAACTGTTTTGTGATTGGTTGCTAGCATTTGACAGACAGATGCATGTACAGGTATATTCGCACGTATGATTGACTTGACTACTTTATTTGACAAGATGATATTTATGTATGCATCGTTATTTGTCAATGTCTTTTCAATAAAAATTACGTCTGAGGTCTATTATGTTTGTTTCTTTGTATGTCGTTTTACATATCTTCCATGGTTCAGATATCCGGAAATTCGTTTATCCGGACAATTTCAAGAAAAACACAAGTGTCCGGATAAACGGGGCACGACTGTATAAAACTTCACTCCAAAATACTTTCTGACAATTATAGTATACCCATGGTGGTGCCAGTAATGGACACCTACAGGCAGTAAATACACAAGATTCTCACAAAATAATTGCTGAAGAAATGTCATGAAGTATGCTGAAACAACTGGCACCTAGACAACATTGAAACAGCAATTGTTATACATGTATTCACAACAACGTATGGTATGGATTTCTTCATCATCATTATTATAAAAAGTTGTAAATCCATACCATACCATATGTTGTTGTGTTACCATCCAACATGCCCATCAAGCATCGGAATTGTTAAATTGTGTACTATCATGTTTAATACATATTTATGGAAATTTCAAAGTGAAACACAAAAACAATGTCCTCTAACAATGCCGTCCCCCATACTGCACATATAAATCAGAAAAAGTACAAAACCAAATATTGGTTAAAAACATTACACTGGAAAGATTTAAGATTGAGCAGATTCATAGGTTATAGTTCTGTGGCCAAATTCTTCAAAGTTCTGCTCTATATGCATCGGTGGCAATGTGGAGAAAACGGTAAATTGGACATTTTACTCACAGACTGACCATCGACAGATTGGTTCTGGGACATGTCCATTGTGCTGTTGGACAGAGCCTTTGCAAACTTGTCTGCTGAAATCAAAACATACATGACCTTAAAGAGAGTGAAATATTGGGTTCATTTCAAATAGTTAACCCCTGTACCTACAAGAACTAAGAGAACATATATCCCATTTCCACAAAACCCTGACCTGCTAACATTATCTCCAAATTATTTGTTCATAAAAATATAAACATAGCTCAGGCTTTGAAATGCAGGCATGGCTTTGTAAGGGAAGGGTTTATGTAACCACAGATGAGCACCGCCACTAAACACTGTCTGATACTAGTGATAGAAGATGATTGAAAAGCTTCACTGCACTGAGCCAGTGCAAGCACAAAGTCAGTGAAACACCCCACCAATCCCTTCCCTATCGCACTACCTCTACGCTTTGTCACTGCCAGTTTAGATCCTCCAAATGACACTGGTTTAAGATTCCTGATAGTCCCTGCAACAAAAGAAGACAGATCTATGTTAAATACCAACTTTCTCGGATCTAGTCACGCTGATCAATCATAAACATGCTGAACATGAAAAACATAATTTCACCTTGAAACACAAACATTGATGAATTTTTGTAGATTTTGTATAACATGTATATTACCATATTTAGTTAAGAAAGCAACCACTTTACAGAACATATAAATTGTAAGCAGCCTACAAATTTCTCACAAAAACACCCTGATAATAATGAAAACATTAAACTCTGATATTTTACTCTGATACAATATCTCCCTGCATGGAGATCCAAGGTCACATCAGGTGAACTTTCTAGTCAACCAATCAGCATCAAGGCTTTGGAATTCTTACAAATGAGTGAAACATTGAGACCAGCATATCTGATGCCTGTATTTTGAAAAGGAAGTCGTAACAGCCGTGCCAATATATTCATGTTGATATACATGTTGCTGTTTCTGAGCCACATAGCATCATCAGGGGAATATTTGTGTCCTGCATGGGTTTTCTTTGGTAAAATCAAAACTTTTTACGTTGACATAAAGGATACATTGGAATATTACCTTTGTCATTCACAATCTGACCAGTCTTCATGGAGACTATGTCGTCATCTGGGAATGACTGTCCATACTGAAACATTCAGCAGCATGACAGATAAACGTGTAAAAAATGGCCAACAGTGAAGGTGGTTAATCTTATCCTTGTGGTCAACGAATACATACCTAAGATACCACAATTAATTCAAAATGTATAATTATTGTCCTATGGAATCTGCAAATGTCAATTTTGGTCTTTTCTTCACACACCATGATTACAGATTTGTTGTTTTAATGTCATGGGCAGTGGGTGTATGTCATAAGACAAAATTGCAAAGACTTGTAAACAGATCTTATACACATGATACAGAATAGGGGTGTTGAGATACGCGAATGTATCGATACATTTTTACTGACGATAAGATATGCGATACATGCTTGCGTGTATCGATTCGTTTTTTAAAAATTTATCGATTCAAATTTTTATGCTATATCCATCTCCTTCAAAGTCTTGATAGTAAAATTATATGAGACCGCTCCGATAAATAGATGTAGCTAGCTATACTTAAAAAATAGGTTGGAAACTAACAGCTTTTGTGATTGGCTAGACATTTTTGATGGACCAATCAGCGAGCGAATACGTTGCCGGTAAGGTAATGCTATGAAAAGGCGAGAAAATTATGTATCGTGATACGTATCGTATCGTGACCTTAAAATTGTGATACGTATCGTATCGTGAGATTGGTGTATCGTGACACCCCTAATACAGAACTGAAAATAATTGGAATATAAGGAGTGATGTAAATAAGCATGGATAAGTAGGCATGATTTGACAGTAAAACATCAAATGTGAATGAACATTTATATAGTTTATCAAATTCAAATAATGAAGTACATCAAATATAAAACCTTATTTTATTTTCCAAATACTAAGATATGTGTCAAATGGTAATGATATAGGAGATTTTGATTTTAAGAACATCCACTAATCTCCATGATCTCTGTGCATAATTGACATTTCTGTACGCCTTGATATTCAGTCTTGTGTCCTAACCCGTGTAGATACTTAAATACCAAGACTCTTTTGAGAAATAGAACAAAAAAAGGGCACAGAATCAATAGAAAGATATTAATATATCGTGCCCAATATACATTATGCTTGTAAGGCATTGTAGCACAAGTAATCGCGCAAACAATGATGGCTTTGCAAAAACGTATGAGGTTTAAAAACATAATACAATAATACATTTAGGACTGTAAAAGTAACACATAAAGAAGAAACTGAGGTTTTGTGTTGAACATAATTATGTGATGCCTGCAAATCAATCTCTGTACAAATATGCATTACCATTGTGGGAAGAGGTTCAGTGTTCATAGTAATCATACAGATTTATTGCAGGCGTATTTGGTGTTTAATCTGTCACGCTTACTCCGCTTAGTCGTACAAAAGCAAACAAAATAACATAAAATATAGCTTATTTTAATCAGACACATGCTATCTCAAGTAAAATCTGCTCATTACTGACAATAATTATTTCACGATCAGCGCCGGGTGATCGTCAACAACATAACAAATAGCCTATGTATGCGCAAGCAAAAGATTAAATGCCCTGAAATTTGAAAATATTGTGAAAACAGTCCATAAAAATAGATCTAGAATCACCCGTGGAGTGAAATAGCCAAATGTGTACAAACAAACATGTACCTTTGAACATATTCTGTCAAAATTTGTTTCGTATCGTCTCAAACTTGCATCAGCTGACACCATAAACTCCTCCATGCTGTTTGGATTGAAACAGCCCGCCATTTTAGAAATATTCGATCTGAATTGCCGTGTGTGAGCTTAGTTTTCTCTGAACAGTATTAGAAAAGAACGTTCAGCGGAGCTGCCCGAGAAATGCCGAATGACAGCAATCGCGAGCGAGGGTATACTCTTTTCATCGACATTTAGGCCTCGCTAAGTATTTCTCACTGTAGTGTTAACGATGTTTGGGGCTTCTTGAGAATACGAGCACATCGAATTCACAGTTGTCTTTCCTTACTTGCCACTTCAGTCAATGTTGTAAACAACGTGTTCGATTTCAGTAACGTGGTGTCAACAACGCTTGAGAAATAAAACCGCACCAGTCACACCTGCACTTTAAAAAGGTAATTGGCTTCACTTTGTTAAAAAACGTAATTGCCTCTACTTTATGGTTTGACGCTATTAATATCGCTATTTCAAGGTAACTGTTGAGTGTTGTCACCTTGTGACTTGCCCTAGATGAGTAGATCAGTAGATCAACTATCAGATGTCAATAGCAGTTTGTAATGCACTGACAGCAGGCTACATTACACCTTGCTCTTGCAACACTGCATGTCTATCACACATTTTGGTGTTAGTACTTATATATAGGTAGTAGCAAGTTTACAGTGAAAGTAATTAACGTCCTGTCTACGAATTCACCTACAGCCGTGGTGACAGGACGTTAATTACTTTCACTGTAAACTTGCTACTACCTATATATAAGTACTAACACCAAAATGTGTGATAGACATGCAGTGTTGCAAGAGCAAGGTGTAATGTAGCCTGCTGTCAGTGCATTACAAACTGCTATTGACATCTGATAGTTGATCTACTGATCTACTCTTCTGGCTGTAGGTGAATTCGTAGACCAGACTGGTTCGTAGACGTAGAAATCCGGTGGATTCGTAGGCAGAATGTGCGTGGATTCGTAGACGTTAGTAAAATGGGAAAAGTTCAACCTCAATGATGATGAAAGTCGATATTATGACTTTAATGTAACCGAAAAGTGTTTGCATTTTGTGAAATAAATAAATATATCAGGTAAATACGATCGGCGATGAAAATATGCTTAAAATAATAAAATTTGACTGGTCACAGACGGTCAGCTGGACAGAAGGCAGCATGCTGGCCAGCGTGCCAAGTCCGATAAGTTTTTTAGGTTATGGGACGAATTCCAAGCCACAAATCTTACCACGCCCAGCTGCTGAGAGAGGTGTCTAAGTTAAATGGAAAAATGGTCACTGAGTGACTGTGATTCGGCTTCCTTCCTTATCATCATTTGCGTGATAACGGTGTTATCTAACTACTACTGTGATACGTGCTTCCTTCCTTATCATCATTTGCGTGATAACGGTGTTATCTAACTACTACTGTGATACGTGCTGTTGTTACCTATTGTTGTTGATCATAAATATATTACATTATCACTCTTCCATAACAATGTTGTCTGTCTTTTTACATTTTACGACGCTTCATCTTTATTACACACAAAGTCACACAGTAACAATATTTTCGTATCACTGAAAACAAAAAATACAACACAAACCCTACATATACAAATACAAATACATGTAAACAAGTCTAGACAAGATAGCCTTCAATCACACTTTTTCTTGTCCTTAGCTGCCCTTATTTACACAATCTAAGTAAAAATCAAACTTAATATATACTATTATTCAATTATTAATACACGTCTACGAAATCACCGTCTACGAACCAGTCTGGGCTACGAATCCACAGCGTCTACGAACTGGTTCAGTCTACGAAATCACTGTCTCCCGTCACCACTAATTATAATACTGCTAATGAGTTCATTAACTGAGTATAGACGACAAATGTAGAAGTGTAGGGCTTATAAAAGTTATACGATAAAACATGAATGACAAGCAGAGAGCAGTAACTGTTGTATTTTATGCAATTTGCCTGAAAAAAGTAAGTATTGTTTCTGTTTTGAGAACTATAAGTGAACTTTATAGCTGTATGCTGAAATCCATAATTGGGAGCACCTTCAGAATACAGCTCCACGACAAATAACCAGTTTTGTGAGAATCAGTTGGACACTAAACCTAAACCTTAACCCTGACACATCTGGTGATTATGCAGGCTAAATTAAATAGCGCTGGCCTACTATCAAAAACATGAATGTGTGGTGCATCCTGGGTTAGTTAGATTCTGTTTTACAGATTGGTATACTAGGAAAACATTCATATCTATTCAGTTCCTGATGGCAGTTAAAGGGATACTGATCTAGAGCAATTCCCGGGGACTGTTTGTTGCTTACGTTATTGCTTTTCCCCCCGTGACTAACTGGATGATATCCCAGAATTCTTAACTCATAATAACTGTTGCGATCTCTGCTGTGCCACCCTCAAGCGCAATTGGTGATATAAGGGTATATCCTTACACTGATCAGGAAAGATGAAATACAGTTTCGTCTTGAAATTAATTGGAAAATGTAGTCATCTTTTTTACCCATTATTATTTCCATCTTCATTATTATGATGATAAATGAAGACGTTAGTGCTGGAGTGATTAGTTGTAGGAGCGGTTAATCGTTCGATTTAAGTCAAAATAAAATTTTGTCGATTACAAAAAAACTGCTGATCTATAATCGGAAATAATCATTATTTGGATGCACATACATTAAAACGTTTTATTCTACCTTGTCGTGTTTTCTTTTACCGAACAATCTGGTCATCATTGCTTGTTTACTTCTTAAACGGAAACTGTGTACTACACAAGTCTGCATGTCTCTCCTGTCAGCCAATGGCAATGCTAGATATATTTAGATTGGGGTGTCCAAAGACGCTTCAAATGTAAGTAACTTGCTAGCGTGAACAATTGACAGGACTGGTGCTGACAGCAACCCCTAAGTTAGTCTGCTAACATAGGTATTTGACTATGAAATGATTGTCCAAACGATTATAATCGATCGATTATCGATCTGACAAAATGTAACGATAAGGAAGAAAACATGTTGACGTTTAGTGTCATCTGCCATTGATAAAAAATCTTAGGATTGAAAGAAAGCGAAGTCAATGTATGTCTGTATATTTTTGCCTTAAAATCATAGCATAATTAGTTATTATTAACTTTTTATGCACTTTTAAACTTCATTAAAATGTACATGATCGGTTTCTAGTGAATTTATTTAATGACTGTAATATGTAGACATTTTATAGATTGTCTAAGTGAATCTTATTTCCCACACACACCTTAAGTGTGACCTAGTGCAGTGTAGGAAAGATGTAGAAAATCTAGCCTTTCCACAGGACTGGCAGGTCAAATTTTTTACCAGTCCTGCCAAAATCTAGCCTGTCCTCCAAATATAAATAAAACACCTTCGGCAATAAATATTCAAAAAGGTTATAATCATTATATATATGTCATTGGTTTGCTAAAATTGACCCGACATGAGGACGGACTAGATATTTTTTTAACCCGTCCTCCACAAAATTCACCCGTCTCGGACGTTGGGACGGGCTATCTTTCCTACGCTGCCTAGTGCATGTTCTCTGCCTCACATTGAAGAACTCCATGGCGAAAAAAAGAAATGAAATGGAAAGATTCTGTTGAATGCAACAACAAATGAATAAAAACAAATACAGATATCAAAATTAAGAGGAATGTATCCATCAATATCCAAGGAATGATATGCCATTCATCTGCAGCTGACAAAAAAAACATGTTCCATGTCATTTCTTTTTTAAACAGCCTAATATGGAAAAATTGTTTGAGGAATGTGTCCATCAATATCCACATAAGGGAACAATATGTCATTCATCTGCAACTGAGAAAGAAACCTGTTTCATGTCATGTGTATTTTTAACAATCTAATATGGAAAAATTGTATTAAACAATATATCTAGTGATAGTTTCTCAATTGGTCATGTGACTTTATTTCAGGTATTTCACATTGGTGTATAGTCTCATTGGTCATCCAACATAGCACACCTGACAACTTTTACATGATGTTCACCTTTCGTTAAAAAATAATTCAGTTAGACAACAATGAGCAATCAATCAACATATTGTAGGTTAATCCTTTAGAGGAACCACATTGTTTTTATGTAGGCACTTTACGACAGAATGTGGGTGTATTCAGTATATGTTATGTAAATCTACATACATAAATACTACCTTTTCACAAATCTGGTGTGCAAGATAAAAGTAGTTAATCCTTCAACACATTATCGGTTAATCCTTTGTTCGATGTTTGGCTAGAATGCCAAGGTGGACAACTGCTCAGTCCCCATGTCGTCACGGTCGAGAGAACAGAGACTGACCACCTGGCACTTAAACGTTATAATTAGAATGTTAGCACAAAAATGAATTGTTAACCAGAAAAGCTATTATTAAAAATATTTGAATGAAATATGACTACAAGGAGCCCAGAGACTTTCTCCATTTTCAGTCTGAAACTCCAGTAATGAACACTATTATTATAGACTTCCCTGCTATTAGATATGTTTTCAAGGTGTGGCATTTGGTAATACAGTCAAATCGCGATGAGTCGAATCGCTGGGGACCAAGTAATAAATTCGACTTATTGATGTATTCGAGACATAGGTATGTCTATGAGGGTAGAAAAAAAGATGATCCAGTGCTAATTCCTCCGCCTAAGCATTTGTTTATCAAATGATTTTCATATCACTAATAGGGGCACCTTATCAGTTCCAGTCTGATAAGCACAGACATTGATTTCCGTAAAATCACTAATCTGCCTTTTGAACTCACCCGTCAATGGCAGAAAGGTGTGAGCCGCGCTGGTTTGTTAATTGGATCAGTTTGCTACACCAATCAACTTCTCATTGACTGACTTCGGTTTATGTATACAAGATTGCTGTTGTTTGAATCTCATGGGACCAGATTTCCTTCTCGAGTCATCGTGTGTATTTATGAGACGAATTCGTGTAACCGGAAATCAAATGATGACAACTATAACAGGGAATGGTCAGGACCGACAGGTACTTCGAGTTATGCATAATATTCGAGACACCGGCATTCGACTCATTGGGATTTGACTGTATTTCAGCTTTGTCATATAAATAATGAAATCAACCAAGGCAAACTGATGATGCACAATGTATTAGTGTGGACATGACTGCAGACTGTTCCATATTAGTCCTCTTTAACAACAAGTGGAGAGCTTTGGCCCATAGGTGATAGTGCACAATGGTGATAGTATTAATGTCATCTGTCTATTATTAATACTCTGAGTCTGAGACTCTATGAAGGTCCAGGGTGGAATTTTGTGTTTAGTAAGCGATGCTTGTGAGTGAGTGAGTGAGTTGGGTTTCACGCAGCTTTTAGCAATATTCCAGCAATATCACGGCGGGGGACACCAGAAATGGGTGTCACACCGGGCCTTCGGCGTGACGAGCAAACGCTTTAACCTCTAGGCTGCCCCACCAATGCTTGTGATAAGAAATAAGTAACAAAATCAAGAAGTTTGACTCCCTAATTTGGTTGATGCTTGTCATCGTATCCCAGTCTCGTAGATCGATGCTCTTGCTGTCAATCACTGTTTTTTTTTCTGGTCACTACAGGAATAATGCTGATTGTGGTTATAAACAACACACAAATAATGTAATGTGGATTGTGAGTTGCTCTCTCTCTCGGTAGTCTATTGTCTCATATTGATCAGTGGATAAATGTAGCAGATGGTACCCATTGTAATGCCTACTCATTTATTAGATTTAGAATGAATTAAATATGGGTCTGTGTGAAAACTGATTGATTTGTGCCCTCAGGTAGACTTCTTGGAATGGCGTTGAAGCGAGTTTTGATCACTGGAGCGTCAGGACTGTTGGGGAGAGCTATATTTGGGGAGTTTTCTGCTGATGCATCATGGGAGGTTCTTGGGCTAGCTTTCTCAAGAAGTAGGGACAAACTGAAAAAGGTTGATTTAACCGATCCCAGTTCCGTCCAGCAAGTTGTACAAGACTTCAAGGTATGTGTATTATGACCTTGATAGTGATTACGAAATTTCCCATGTTTCCCAATGGGTTCACAAAACTACTACACTAGTATCAGTAATATACAATTACTATCTCCAGGATACAGTGGACAATGGATTCATGGAGTAGTGGTATTAGTATTTCATAAACACTATGTACTTATTCCTCAAAGCCACATGTATATATTGTCTGTGTTCTGCAATCTTCCAGCCGTCTATTGTAATCCACGCAGCAGCAGAAAGACGCCCTGATGTTGTCGAGAAACAAGACGAGGCCACACAAAAGATCAACATTGATGCTACACGGACCCTGTGTACAGAGGCAGGTAGGTTGGAGGTGTAGCTAGTCCTGGGTTGGGGTCCTTGTCAAATTAACTGCATATTTCCCACACTTGCCTGTAGGTGGCGTCTCCCTGGTAACGACTTGGGCATCCCATTCACACGAATAGAAACCAGAACGTGTTGTCTGAATAGTTACACGGTCACAGTTGTACATGTTGTATACAAGGAAAGTACAAAAATTTCCCTATCTCATGTTTTGTACTTTCTCCTGTTCTTACGGCGCTGGAGTGGAAACAGCCTGAAACAACGTTTTCAGACTCTTGTAACACCTTGAACCGAACAGTCAGGATGGGGCTGAAGTATTGCTGATGTGACGTAAACTTTTAACTCACTCACTTATTGTACTGAACACCCCCAGCTCCATGTACTGTTGTAGGCTGTCACTGTAAGCTCATGCAAAGTGTGTGTCCTTGTTGAACAGGTCCAGGATGTATCAGGACATAGTTATCATAGTGTTGGGCCAGGAGCTAAGTTAATTGTGTTGTGTATTCCAGAGGTTTGTTTTCAGGTAAGGTGGGGGCATTGTGCTATCCTGAGTTTCATGTTTCAGGCAAGGTTGGTTCATGGGTGCTGTTTGTGAGTACCGACTATGTCTTTGATGGGTCCAAGCCTCCATACACAGTGACAGACCAGCCTACCCCTCTCAACAAGTATGGCCAGAGTAAATACCAAGGGGAGAGGGTCACACTGGAAACTAGCAAAGGTTTGTACAACTTTACACTTCTATATTTCTACAGTGATGACTGTGATGGGTAATTTTATTTGTACTATTGTCATGAAATATACAGGAGACTTTATCATTTTGCTTTAAATTTGTTAGCGACAAGCAACAAAAGGAAATGTTCTCAAAAGGACAATTCTTCTGTATCATCACTGAATTAAGAAAAAGTTTGCAGTATGTTTTGGATGCAATCAGTGAGTGTCCCAGACAAGTGAAGGGTTGCTATGAGCTGTATGTCATGAACACATTTGATTATAATCCACCTTTAATCGGAAGGTAAGAGGTCAAAAGTCACAGTTATCTCCCTTTGTTGTTGTATTTCTGTGAGAGTGCAATATCCCTCTTGTGGCTCGCTAGGTTCAACCATTGTTCATCTGTTTGCCAACAACTTGCTGATTATACATGATTACAGTCGTTTTAATGTTATCAGTGTTTTTTCACTGTTTTGTACCAATGGGAATTTTCAATAATGTAATGGTGGTGTTCACGTACCATGGTATTGACCTTGCGCCAATGCATCAGGTATTCATTCTACCCTTGCTCAATATACTTTTGAAATGGTAAAACATTGTTTCCAAAAGATGATATGGCCAATAACACAGCTAAATCTTTCAGAAAGTAATAAAGCTTGTGTTCAACGCATTGATAGTGGTGCAGGGTTGATAAGAGCAAGACAAAAATGATGCTAACAAATCATCGTACCTCCAGTACGTGTGCTGTATGTTGATGTGTCTTGCAGATAATGGTGTCCTGCGTGTCCCCATTCTGTATGGAGAAGTGGAGTATCTGGGGGAGAGTTCTGTCACAGTTTTGTTTGAGAAGGTAAAGGACACCACAAAGACATGTGTCATGTCTGACTACGAACGTCGGTACCCCACAACCTGCCAGGACGTCGCGGTCACCATCCGACAGTTGTCAGACAAGAGACTACAGGTACACGTTGAACTTTAACCTTAGACAAGAGTCTATAGAAAATCATAAACCAATATCTGGTGACCTCTGATGTTACTGACTGTCCAGTTTTGGGAGCCAGAATCAGCCCCCAGTCCCTCACGACTGGATTAAAACAAGGTAGGACTTGGCTGAGTGTGGGTTGTTCTCTAAGGACAATGATTGTACTGTCAGCCCATTAATAGACTCATAAGGTCCCAAATAGTGTTCGGCATGGTATCTCAGTGGGCTAGCACTTTAAAACCAGCTTCAGTCTGGGCTAGTACAAACAGCCGCACCTACACATACACACGCATGCACTTCGTTATATGAGCGATATATTCTCCAGCTCGACGTTAAACCCAATTTCACCTCACCTCAAATAGTGTTCTTGTTTTTATGGTATTTGCGATGTTAAGCACCTTGTTTCAGTATGTGCCCCACACCAAATACTAGACCAATGTTAGTAAACACCAGGGGAGATGGGGAAGCCTAGTGGTTAAAGCGTTTGCTCGTCATGCTGAAGACACGGGTTCGATTCCCCACATGGGTACGATGTGTGAACTAAACTAAAACTCACTCACTCACAAGTGAACACCACCACCTGAGATTGACAGTTTAGAAGACAGATTGCTGTACAGCTGCTCCAAAAGTTTATATCACTGCCTCATAACTGTCATGCACATGTTTAGTTTCACTGAACTAACTTTGTTTACTAGTGTTCTATCTCTTAACTAGAACTGTATGGTTTAATAAGCTTCCACCTCTGTCACTTTACTGCCTGGGGCACATATTATGACAAACACGGTAGCTCTATGTTCTTAGGATATGGCATTATGACATTCACTTAGAAGGGATGAATGAATGCAATATTTTCAGCTTCAAAACATTTCTTATGGTCCATGTAGACACACCCATTTTCCAAGAGATGCAGACTGCATACGACTAGTTCCAGATGAACAAACTGTTAGGGAAACCTTTAGGTGCCTGGCATTCCGGAAAAATTATCACCAAATGGAAATTCTGAGATAACTGACACTGGGACAGTTCAACAAGTAAATCCAGTTGAATTAAGGACTTAGTCTAAGACCCACAATATGAATTATTTGTTTAAATTGAGCAAATCTCCGGCACCAAGCGTCAACTGTGATGATAATTAGTTGTGTTAATGTCTCCTCCAGGATAGCTCCATCAACGGCATATTCCACTGGAGTGGTGATGAAAACATGACCAAGTACGACATGGCTGTGGCGATGGCAGAGATATTCAACCTCCCGACTAGTCACATCGAAGCCGACAAGAAGCCGTCCCCTGGAGTAACGCGGCCCTTCAACTCCCAGTTGGACTGTTCCCGTCTCGAGGCGTTGGGCTGTGGACAGAGGACCAAGTTCAAAGAAGGCATCGCACACGTTCTCCAGAACTACAAACCATAGACACGCATTGAAGCAAAGGAGATGCATGTGGAAGATTACATTTACTGAGTATTACATATGGTGTTATCTCTATTCATGAAGGATATATTGATTTACTTTTCCTGCTGATTTTACAAAGGTAAAGTGGACACAGTCTAAATCTTTGTATTGAACAAATATGGTGCTTAGTCTGAAGATCAAACATGAAACACCAACCTATCATGACATCAGGTGAGCAGACTACCATGCACCGCTCGACTACCGTAGTCTAAACACCAACCTATCATGACATCAGGTGGGCACACTACCATGCACCGCTCGACTACCGTAATCTAACCAGGTGACTTGTCCCAGTTCATTAACACATCCTACGGTGATGGAATTAGATGGTTTTAGAAGGTGTACCTGATACAGTGTTTCTCTTCAAAAACTTGTTTTCCGAATTTTCTATTGTTATTTCCTTTCACATTCGACTAGAAGTAATTGTAAGATAATTTGATCTTCAAATTTGGGGGGGCCGGGGAGATTTGTCATCTTCTGATGACTCTTGTTTTGTCTCAGTTAAGACACTAATATATTAAATAGTGGAACAGAAAACATTACCAAAAATCTTCTCAGCAACAATTTTAGACATGGAAAGATAACAGTTCAATTATTAAGATCATATATATCATATCTAGGCTTCCCTATACACAATAGGGGGGCGGGGTAGCCTAGTGGTGGGCTCCCCTATACACAATAGGGGGGCAGGGTAGCCTGTTGGTAGGCTTTACTATACACAATAGGGGGGCGGGGTAGCCTATTGGTAGGCTCCCCTATACACAATAGGGCCGATGGGGTAGCCTATTGGTATGCTCCCCTATACACAACAGGGGGGCGGGGTACCCTATTGGTGGGCTCCCCTATACACATTAGGGGCTGGGGGTACCCTATTGGTAGGCTCCCCTATACACAATAGGGGCGGGTAGGCTCCCCTATACACAATAGGGGGGTTGGAGGAGCCTAGTGGTGGGCTCCCCTATACACAATAGGGGGTGGAGGAGCCTTGTGGTGGGCTCCCCTATACACAATAGGAGGGCAGGGTAACATGTTGGTAGGCTTTACTATACACAATAGGGAGTAGGGGTAGCCTATTGGTATGCTCCCCTGTACACAATAGGGTGGGGGCTACCCTGTACACAATTGGTAGTCCCCTATACACAATACACAATAGGGGTGGTGGGGTAGCCCTATTGGTAGGCTCCCCTATACACAATGGGGGGTGGGGTGGCTCCCCTATACACAATGCACAATAGGGAGTAGGGATAGCCTATTGGTAGGCTCCCCCTATACACAATAGGGGGGCAGGATACACAATAGGGGTAGCCTATTGGTATGCTCCCCTATACACAATAGGGTGGGGTCAGCTGTGTGGTGGCTCCCTATTGGTGGAGGCTCCCCCTATACACATTAGGGTGAGGGTGCCCTATTGGTAGGCTCCCCTATACACAATAGGGGGCGGGTGGGCTCCCCCTATACACAATAGGGGGATGGAGGAGCCTAGTGGTGGGCTCCCCTATACACAATAATAGGGGCAGGGTGGGCTAGCCTATTGGTGGGCTCCCCTATACACAATAGGGGGGTGGAGGAGCCTAGTGGTGGGCTCCCCTATACACAATAGGTGGAGGAGGAGCCTCTCCCTATACACAATAGGGGGGCAGGGTAGCCTGTTGGTAGGCTCCCTATACACAATAGGGGGGTTGGAGGAGCCTGATTGGTGGGATACACAATAGGGGGTGGAGGAGCCTAGTGGTGGGCTCCCCTATACACAATAGGGGGGCAGGGTAGCCTATTGGTATGCTCCCCTATACACAATGGGGGGCAGGGTAGCCTATTGGTATGCTCCCCTATACACAATGAGGGGGTAGCTATTGGGCAGGCTCCCCTATACACAATGGGGTGAGTGGGCTCCCCTATACACAATATTGGTAGGGTGAGCTCCCCTATACACAATAAGGGGCAGGATGGCCTATTTGTATGCTCCCCTATACACAATGAGAGGTGAGGTGCACTAATTGGTGAAACCCCTATACACAATAGGGTGGGGTAGCCTATTGGTGGGGCTCCCCTATGCACAATAAGTGACTGAGTTTGGTTTTAAGCTTTTAGCCCCAATATACACAATAAGGGGTTGTGCCCATGTGGGAATAGAACCAGGACAGGGCAGCCCTAGTGGTGGGGCCTAGTGGTGGGCTCCCCTATACACAATAGGGGGTTGGAGGAGCCTAGTGGTGGGCTCCCCTATACACACAATAGGGGTTGGAGGAGCCTAGTGGTGGGCTCCCCACAATATACCTACTCCCCTATACACAATAGGGGGTGGAGGAGCCTAGTGGTGGGCTCCCTTATACACAATAGGGGGTGGAGGAGCCTAGTGGTGGGCTCCCCTATACACAATAGGGGGTGGAGGAGCCTAGTGGTGGGCTCCCCTATACACAATAGGGGGTTGGAGGAGCCTAGTGGTGGGCTCCCCTATACACAATAGAGGGGGGAGGAGCCTAGTGGTGGGCTCCCTATACACAATAGGGGGTGGAGGAGCCTAGTGGTGGGCTCCCCTATACACAATAGGGGGGTGGAGGAGCCTAGTGGTGGGCTCCCCATACACAATAGGGGGGTGGAGGAGCCTAGTGGTGGGCTCCCCTATACACAATAGGGGTGGAGGGAGCCTAGTGGTGGGCTCCCCTATACACAATAGGGGGTGGAGGAGGTGGTGGGCTCCCCCCCCACACAATAGGGGGGGGGAGCCTAGTGGTGGGCTCCCCTATACAGAATAGAGGGGTGGGGTAGCCTAGTGGTTAAAGCGTTCGCTTGTCACGCCAAAGACCGGGGATCGATTCCCCACATGGGTACAATGTGTGAAGCCATTTCTGTAGTCCCCCGCCATGAGATTGCTGAAATATTGCTAAAAGCGGGATAAAATAAACTCACTCACTCACTCACTCTATACACAATACCACCACTGCAATATGGACATTCAAACCAGGATTTTTTAAGATAAACAAAGCATTAGGGAAGTAGTTCACACAATCGTCATAGGTAATGTACCTGGGATGATCTTATAGACATGTCTAGTCCTATAAGACAGGGATAGGTGGTGCTGGTGTTGTAATGGATAGTTGTTGTTGTTTACGACATGAGGGGCAGCTCGTAATGTTTTGTGGTGGTGTCTGGATAGTTGTTGTGTTGCTTACGTGTGTGAGGGTTCAAATGTTGAAATCGAAATGTTCTGGCTTTTAAAAGTGTGTTGTTTTAGAGTGATTTGTTTCCCAGAATAATTTAACATAAACAGAGACCTCATACATATGTTTCTACTGTTAATGTTATGACAGTATTTGAAGTCTTACATTTGAAACAACCAAAGTTTTCAAAATGTCAAACAACTGAAGGAATGAACAAAACTTGTGTCAGTACAGATCTTGTACACTGTACAGTAGGTATCAGGGTGTGTAAGATATCATACCGTGACGTTATGAAAGGTATTGTATGTCTTTCTTTGTTTTAGTAGAATCAGGATTTGTTTCGAGAAATATAAACCAGATTGACTGAAATATTTCATGTTGTTCTGCCTTGGTACCTTAATCAAGTGATCAACAGCTGAATTAAAACTATAGGTCACCTTGTTGTCAGTTGATAGCTACATATGACTGAATGACCGACTGTATCGTTGATAGCTATATATGACTGAATGACAGACTGTACCGTTGATCGGTAGATATGACTGAATGACTGACTGTATCGTTAGAAGCTATATATGACTGAATGACCGACTGTACCGTTGATAGCTATATATGACTGAATATATGACTGAATGACCGACTGTATCGTTGATAGCTATATATGACTGAATGAGTGACTGTACCGTTGATAGCTATATATGACTGAATGACTGACTGTACCGTTGATAGCTATATATGACTGAATGACCGACTGTACCGTTGATAGCTATATATGACTGAATGACTGACTGTATCGTTGATAGCTATATATGACTGAATGACCGACTGTATCGTTGATAGCTATATATGACTGAATGACCGACTGTACCGTTGATAGCTATATATGACTGAATGACTGACTGTACCGTTGATAGCTATATATGAATGACCGACTGCATATCGTTGATAGCTATATATGACTGAATGACCGACTGTACCGTTGATAGCTATATATGACTGAATGACCGACTGTACCGTTGATAGCTATATATGACTGAATGACTGTACCGTTGACTGTATATATGACTGTGACCGACTGTATATAGCTATATATGACTGAATGACCGACTGTACCGTTGATAGCTATATATGACTGAATGACCGACTATATGACTGAATGACCGACTGTACGTTGATAGCTATATATGACTGAATGACCGACTGTACCGTTGATAGCTATATATGACTGAATGACCGACTGTACCGTTGATAGCTATATATGACTGAATGACCGACTGTACCGTTGATAGCTATATATGACTGAATGACCGACTGTACCGTTGATAGCTATATATGACTGAATGACCGACTGTACCGTTGATAGCTATATATGACTGAATGACCGACTGTACCGTTGATAGCTATATATGACTGAATGACCGACTGTACCGTTGATAGCTATATATGACTGAATGACCGACTGTACCGTTGATAGCTATATATGACTGAATGACCGACTGTACCGTTGATAGCTATATATGACTGAATGACCGACTGTACCGTTGATAGCTATATATGACTGAATGACCGACTGTACCGTTGATAGCTATATATGACTGAATGACCGACTGTACCGTTGATAGCTATATATGACTGAATGACCGACTGTACCGTTGATAGCTATATATGACTGAATGACCGACTGTACCGTTGATAGCTATATATGACTGAATGACCGACTGTACCGTTGATAGCTATATGACTGAATGACTGACTGAATGACCCTGACCGACTACCGTTGATAGCTATAATGACTGACTGTACCGTTGATAGCTATATATGACTGAATGACCGACTGTACCGTTGATAGCTATATATGACTGAATGACCGACTGTACCGTTGATAGCTATATATGATAGCCGACTGTACCGTTGATATATGACTGAATGACCGACTGTACCGTTGATAGCTATATATGACTGAATGGCCGACTGTACCGTTGATAGACTGATATGACTGAATGGCCGACTGTACGTTGATAGCTATATATGACTGAATGACCGACTGTACCGTTGATAGCTATATATGACTGAATGACCGACTGTACCGTTGATAGCTATATATGACTGAATGACCGACTGTACCGTTGATAGCTATATATGACTGAATGACCGACTGTACCGTTGATAGCTATATATGACTGAATGACCGACTGTACCGATAGATATGCTATATATGACTGAATGACCTGAATGACTGTACCGTTGATAGCTATATATGACTGAATGACCGACTGTACCGTTGATAGCTATATATGACTGAATGACCGACTGTACCGTTGATAGCTATATATGACTGAATGACCGACTGTACCGTTGATAGCTATATATGACTGAATGACCGACTGTACCGTTGATAGCTATATATGACTGAATGACCGACTGTACCGTTGATAGCTATATATGACTGAATGACCGACTGTACCGTTGATAGCTATATATGACTGAATGACCGACTGTACCGTTGATAGCTATATATGACTGAATGACCGACTGTACCGTTGATAGCTATATATGACTGAATGACCGACTGTACCGTTGATAGCTATATATGACTGAATGACCGACTGTACCGTTGATAGCTATATATGACTGAATGACCGACTGTACCGTTGATAGCTATATATGACTGAATGACCGACTGTACCGTTGATAGCTATATATGACTGAATGACCGACTGTACCGTTGATAGCTATATATGACTGAATGACCGACTGTACCGTTGATAGCTATATATGACTGAATGACCGACTGTACCGTTGATAGCTATATATGACTGAATGACCGACTGTACCGTTGATAGCTATATATGACTGAATGACCGA